ATGTAAAGATTTTTATTTATTTATTTTAAAGAAAAGTTTGATTTTAAAAAGATACCATGGTTATTAATGAGGAAACTCATGCTTGAATAGATATACTTTTTCCCCTAAATAATTTATAACTTCAAGCAATTCTAATCCCAATCCCCACTTTCAATGTAACCATGCCTGGGTAAATGAGCACCCTTCCTTTTCTCTTCTCAGAAATTATACAAAAGCAACAAGAACAACCAAACTCCCACAGACTCCATTTTCAGTGAAACTAAAAATATGTATGATCCATGAACTACTAAATATTTGTAAGGACTGCAAAAAGCAGCTGAGAGTAGGCAGATGCAATGTGGGAGGAAGTGAGGAAGCGTGCACTGTGGGAGAGGAACCATCAGGGGATCTCAGAAGGCAGGAGCAAAAATATCCTTGTGAAGGTATATTTAGCAACATCCAGAATTAAAAGCGATCACATTTTATGATGTAGCTGCTAGACGCTAGCATTTCTACTTCTAAGAATGCTAGAGAAGCTCACATACTGAGTATAGTGAGACCAGGACAAGGATGTTTGTTGCAGCATCATGTGTAATCAAAAAGTGGGAAACAATCTAAATGTCCATTTGAGAAGATAGCTTACATTGTAATAAAACCTTACCTTGGGAGAAGGAAACTAGATCTCTATAAATCATTTTGGCTAGGTCCCCAAAACAAAGTTGAGCAAAAAAAGCAAGTTGCAGAATGATACATACAAGGTCTGACAATTAAGTTTGCAAACTCATCCTAGAAAAAGTAATGAAAATGCTGCATATTACTATGGTCACCTTTGAAGCACTCCCCTTGGGAAGCTATGCATCGACGCCAGTGTCTAGTCTACCCGTCAAAATAATTTTGGAATTCTTTTGTTGGAATGGCCATCAGAGCTGTTATCATATTACTCTTGATGTCCTGAATGTCATCAAAATGTCTTCCTTTCAATATTTCCTTTATCTTCAGGTAAAGGAAAAAGTCACTGGGAGCCAGATCAGGTGAATAAGGAGGGTGTTCCATACGGTTATTTGTTTAGTGGCTAAAAACTTCCTCACAGACAGTGCTGTGTGAGTTGGTGCATTGTCGTGTTGCAAAAGCTCCTTCGGGACCGTTTTTGCACACTTCTTTCTTTTTTTTTTTTTTTT